AGGTGGTCAACATACTCACTGTTACCTGCCTTGTCTAGACTGGCTCTATGGTGGAAGGTGGGGGGTGTGAGGGGGTGGACAAAATACACATTACACACTGCTACCTGCTGTGTCTAGACTGGCTCTATGGTGAAGGGGGGAAGGGGAATTTTTTTTAATTAGTCATTTTTCTAAAAGTGCCAATTTTCTTTGAGGCAATTGAAGTTAACTTTAAAGTACTATTTCTTTTAGCCAAACATTTATAATGTATGTGATTGCTTAATTTAGCCAAACAATTATTATGTATGTGGTGCTTAATTAATTTTGTGTGCATAATTGCCGTTTTCAGCCTAGTGTATTAGTGGAAATTTCACGTCATTTTGTTTTTGTCTAATTTAAATTTGAGCAATCATTAGCTACTGGCGACTTGGCAGTTGGTTTTTGCGTGTGCCCAAAATTTTCTATCAATCAAAGATTAAGTGCCACAGGAGACCTGGTACTATACTGAGAAACATCAAACATGACAGTTCTAGACAAGGATACTACCACATATATTATATGTCTGAAGGCTAAGACTGGGTTCCCATAACCCTATCATACTAGCAGCATCGATCTAACTCCCAGGGGTTTCTCACTAAATTGCATTCAGTTTAAGCAGCTTTAATGTCTGTCACGTCCACTGAAGCTGCTAGTGGGTAATTAACTTTTGTGCATGCTAAAACTGATAGCAATATAGCAAGAATCCCCTTGGAGGTAGATTGATACTGCTAGTACAATAGGGTTATGGGAATAATTGGTTCCTAACATACAAGTACCTTCTAAGAACATCATCCCCACATCTGTGATGTTGGTATTAGTCAATAGGAGGCGCCTCAAGCTGGAAGACACAAACAATTTTTGTCAGAAAAACAATTTATTTTAACTAATAAACCAACATGTCCTTCTGGCAAAAACATTACACAGCAAAATGATTATCTAATGCCTTCTGATACAAAATTATTTCTATTTTCTATTTTCTGCATCCCTATAGCATTTTCTGTTGAAGTGAAATTTGATAAAGTGCATATATCAGTGATGTTTATTTGGCTTAGAATTCTTATTTTTCGTGCTACCTCACAGTGATCAATACCCATCACCCCTCCCGCCCCTGCACGCATGCACATGCACATACACCCACACTTACACACACACATGCACACAAACCTCAATCACTCCATATCACAATAATATCAGCATACCTGAGGTATGAAATCACACCCTAAGTTTTGACAAGAATGCTACTTTATGTTATTACAACCAATTGCTTCATTGACCACAAGGTCAACACTGATAAAAGATCACCACTGATGAAAGTCCTGTAGAAGGTCGTCTGGTCCAGTAGATACACTGCAGTATGAGATACGGGTAGAAAAACTCCTTATTTTGTTCTTACTACACAATCCTTTAACTAAGTCAGATGAAGATGAGCTTTACAAAACAACAAAACAAAACAACTTTATTGGTATAAATATTATTCTGAAGTTTTTGACCAAACATTTCAGCAATTTCATTTTAGGATTTTATATTTAAAAAAAATCCAAATAAATAAAAGCAAGCATCAGTCAAAAATATTCATAACTCATTAACCTTCTTTCTTTGAAAAAGAAAAAAACTTTTAAACAAACTAGAATGGCCTTATCTTTGGTCAAAAAAAGATTTCTTAAAAAAATTCATCTCCAAGCTGAAACAAACTTTTGATACAAATTCCCATGTTTAACAGGCCCAAGAACAAGACCATGCCTCTACAGGTGTGAAAGTCCTCATCCACACACCTGTAATACAACACCACAAATTACCACAGTTCCTTCACTCATTAGTACCTGCCACAACAACACACACCAGTCAATTATAAACCCCCCTGAAGGCAGCTGACCTCTAGGGGTCAAAGGTCAACTTAAAGGTCAACCTCCATTGTGCTGCTGGCACACATGATGTCCAATAAAACAGAAAAATTAATGAAAAGGTTTGCAAATGTTCCCCGTATTACATTCTCTAACACCTGCATATAAATACATATTGGAGACCAAAGTTAGAATAGTTTTATATTCATATTATTCAGGAGAGTTAGCTAACCTGGATCTACACCGCACGCAGGGGCGGAGGGCATGTTTTAAGAGGTGTTTTGACACCCACAATTAAGAGAAAAGACTGTGTGTTTGGGTGAAACCGTAATTGTTTATAAACGTGTTGTGATTGGTTAAAATAACAAACAGTTATGTAACCATTTCCTTGGTTTAGAATGTTGATTGATTGGTTTGGACAATACCCACAACGCAACTGTTCCTTGGGACAGGCACACTCATACAGGACACATACATATTATACAGTAATGGGTGAAGGCAGGGGAGAGAAAGGGGGTCAACTCTACACGAGAACTAAACTGTCAGGGTTCCCCAGGGTTAAACATATGGACCATTGGATCAATACGTATTGATTAGGTATTGATTACCTTGTGATCTTCCCTATGCTTTCCAGTCCCCTGTCTTGGATGTAGATATAATTTGTAAGGTCCATGGAAGTAAGTGGCATGGCTGAATATTGAAAGAGAGTTACACTTTTATGTTCTTCTATTTCTTGTTTGGCTTCTTTAACTGTTTTTTTCATGCACAATAAGATTGTTAAAATTAAAATAAAAAAAAAAACTTAGGCATAACAGTTTATCACAGAGAGACTAACGTTTCAATTTCTAATTTATTGTTAAACTTAATGTTTGTTGTCAATTACACAGATAAAGAAGCTTTAAAAGAACATAACTTACATTTAGACAGCTGAAACTGTTGGCTACACAGATACACCACAAAGAAACAAAGCTTTTAACTTCAATCACTACAAAATATCCAATAAATAAATAAATAAATAAGCAGTCACCTGCAACATGCAACATTCCTGCACCTGTTGTTGACAGACGGCTCGGAAAATTTAGACTTTGTAACCTAAGACCTGAAATGATGTAAAAATAAATAAATAAAATTTACAATTTATCTTGACAGTTTTTAAATGCTACAATATGTACAATATGGCAAACCCACCCCTCTGTTAATACGACTATAACCCTAACATTATACATAGCCATTTACTTCACTACGTATTTAGCACTAAATTAACTGGAAAATCATAGCAAAGGGCACTTGGGATAATAGTATATAAACAAATACAGGTATTTTATACAATAAGGAAATAAAATCTTATACAACACCTGCATGACAACTAACATCTTTTTTTCTATATCTCAGCTCTTGCCCAAAAGCCAAATATAAATGTTACAGTTACTGTTTTTACAATGATGTTTACCCTTAGTGGTGACAGAAGTCTGTCTACATGTCAACAACATCTGTAAGTTTTAATCCAGTTGTTCAAAAAATGCTCTTTGACCGATTTCTGAAAGTTAGCTTGAGAAGTTGTCTGTACAATTCAGCAGTCAAAGCTAAACAGCTTAAACTTTTTTTTTTTTTTTTTGGAGTACCCCAGTTATCTTTAATCTATTGTAACCTGGACATGGTCAGTGTTTTTGTGTCATTACAATGTGCTAGTCACAACCATCTCCAGAGAGAAAGTCACACCTAACACACTCTGGCTGATTCTGTGGAGTTCTTCATTGCAAACTAGTCACTCAATAGTAAACACACTGTGTTCTTCTCAACCAAATCAGTCTCAACTAACACAATCTGATACTAACATTTTTTCTTTGTTCTGTGTCCATCGTTATTATTATTATTATTATTTTAAAACAATCTACACTGACCTGCTATATACTGTAGAGCAGTATCTCCCTCTACATGCTCTGTCCTGGAGATATTATTATTATTATTATTATTATTATTATTATAACTGACCTGCTATATACTGTAGAGCAGTATCTCCCTCTACATGCTCTGTCCTGGAGATATCCAGTCCACTGAGATTATGTAACATAGACAGCACCAGGAGAGAGTCTGTTGCTATCCCAGTGGCTGCCACACTAAGACTGTCTATCTGTTGTAGACTCTGGAGACCTGAGAGACTATGGACCTGAAATGTAGGGCACAGTGACATAGATACATATATTATGTGTTAGGTGCTCAGGCTGCAAGTTACTGACTGTATGAGAGATCAAAGTTTGCAAGTAGAATCATGAATGAGTTCATACAAATTAATCAACTTAAGTGTATCTGCACCAACAAGATAATGATCCACTAGCACACTGTAATATGTAACACATTCTTTTTTCTCACATGTTCAAAATAAACAAAGCTTCATGACTTTAATATAACAATAACTATATCTTCACCTGTGTTTGGTCTAAATTCAGACTTCTTAGTTTTTGTAATTCTGAAAAATACAAGCAAAAACAAAATGCTTACTTAAATGAATTACTATCAGTAAAACAATGATCATATTTTATTACACAAAATAATATAATATTATAATCCACTACAGTTTTTACTTGTTACAGTAGAAGATAAGACAATCACCCTTGAGCTTACTTTGTAAACTAGAGAATATTGCATGTGTCACAGCAGTTTTATTGAGATTGAGGTTGACAAGTTCTGCGGGTTCTGAGCTAGCGTAATCCTGCACGCCTTCATCTGTCACTTTAGTACCTTCCAGTATCAGTGTGACAAGCAGCGGAAACTCTGGAATGTACAGAAATACTTTATAAACTGATGGACATTAGGCTATCAGAAATTTTAACAAAGGGGAAGGCCAATCTTTGTAAAAAATCTTGTTAATGGTTCTAAATGATCTTTAAGTTTTCTAATGCCCCATACTGCATTCTTGTTGACAATGCATCCACTGCTTGAATAGCATAAATTCTCATCAGTAAACTAATTGCTGTAAGTTCAATTATATCAAAGTACCAAGCAGCTAGCTTGTGGTAATCTTTTATGTCTGACATTGAACCATTACTACTTTCCCAAAACACCCATTGTTTTACTCATCCTTACCTTTAATGACATCAAAACAGCCATTGGTTATCTCTTCCTTACCTTTAATGACATCAAAGCTCCCATTGGTTATCTCTTCCTTACCTTTAATGACATCAAAGCTCCCATTGGTTATCTGTCCACAGCAGCTGAGGTTGAGATATTTCAGTTTTCTCAGAGTGATCAGAGGCTGAAGTCCCTTATCTGTGATCAGTGTACAGGAACAGAGACTGAGGTGGACCACACTGGTGTGAAATCTGGACAAATTACAGTATTGGTCAACACATTAACAGCTACACATAAACTTGAATGAATGAATGGATGAATGAACGAATGAATTGTGCCTTAATTCATCGTTTTCATTGTATTATCAACTTGCTGCATTAATAAGGTGTGGAATCTGGGCAAGTAACAGTATTGGACAACATATTAACAGCAACACAAATTTGAAAGAATCAGTGAATGATTTTTGCCTTAATTCATCATTTGACTAATGTATTATCAAGTTGCTGCATTGATCAGATGATAATACAATGGTCAGATGATGAACAAAAGGCAAAAATTTTCCATTTCACATGCATGTCTATAAGCTTGTTCCACACCACCTTACTATTATGTACTGTACGTCATTACATGAATTCTATAAACTTGAATAAACAACAAACAACTTTGACAGTCACCAAAAAGTTGATTTAGAAGTGACCTCTCTTTCTGTAAAATTTAAAATAAATAACATCCAATTGCAAATAATAAGAAATTTGATTTATTAACTTAAAATCAGTTAATCTTCATATGAGTTATGCAATGTATGTATCAGCAATGATGTATATGTGATGAAATACTGAATGACTGAAAAAAGCTGGACATTTTTTCTACACGTCCACTCGTAAGGAAATATATATTTCACTTAAAATTTGAAATTGCTTGTGAAATTCTCAAAAAACTTAACATTCCCCCTTCTTAACATGCTCAAATAACTGCCATTCCCAAAATTACTTTGCACAGAATTACAACTGACAAATTGATTGGAATAATCAGAGACAAACTGGCCCCTAATTGTTCAGATAACTCACCTCACTGCTGCTAACAGTTCATTTGTTGTATAGGGATAAAAATCAAATACCAGTTGACGTAGATGGCTAAAACAGAGAAAATGTGGAGAAAAAATCAAGATGAAAACATGCAGTGATCCTCTCTCATCAATGGTGTTCAATTTGACTCGCTGGAACTAACTCCCAAAGTTAAAACATTACCTCCAAGAAGCGGCATAACTGAAAATGTTATGGTTTTTATCTTTCATTTTCTGAGGATGTCTTCACCAGACTTGTACTCTCAAAGAAACCAATCAAACTATAATCTTAACAGGTAAAACATCCAAACAGCAGGTCAAACTCACCAGGGTAAAAAAGCATTCAGAGTTTTTGGTTTGAGCAGTCTCTCCTTTAACACATATTGCAACAATTTCTCAGCCAGCTCTGTGGGTAGACACCCTAGGGGGGAGGTCATTGACATTACCCTGGGGTCACACAGGCGCTGGCTGACATGACGAGTACACTGTTGGAGGAGGGTATGGACTTGGGCTCCTCTTGCATGCTGCCTAGAAGGTGGCTCACTCTGGAGAGTGGATTGTGACTGTTCTTCTTGGTTTAGTTGTACAGGTTGTGTTGGCTGCTGTGGCTGATCTATCCTTTGTAAAGCTGCTGCAGCTGAAGTAGTGGAAATAAAAGCAAAATTATGAATGTGTCAAACAAATCTTTCCTCTGAAAGTTTCTAAGATTCCAAAACATACAAAATGTACCATGAACTAATGTCTAAATTACGTGTTATTTTTTCATTTACTAACATGAAACAATTTTTTCCAAATCTCACCAACATTTTGAGAGAAATATTCCATTTTCCTGATCATGAATAATGATTAATTCCTAACAATGAGGAAAACAATGAGGAACCTCAGTGAAAAAAAACACAATAATATGGATGAATTATAAGAATGTTAAACAATAAAGGAAATAATTATCCTTAAAAACTTCCTCATAACTGGTCAACAAGCATGTACCTGCAGCATTTTTAGCTAACTGAGCTGGAAGTTGTGGCACCACTGGTATATCTCCTGCCAGCCTCTGTCCCTCTCCCCACTGATGATGTCCTCCTCCTCCTACAATATTATATAATATGATACAGTTACTGGGATATCTCCTGCCAGTCTCTGTCCCTCTCCCCAATGATGATGTCCTCCTCCTCCTACAATATTATATAATATGATACAGTTACTGGGATATCTCCTGCCAGTCTCTGTCCCTCATCCCACTGATGATGTCCTCCTCCTCCTCCTCCTCCAATATTATATAATATGATACATTAACAATATAATATGATACAGTTACTGGGATATCTCCTGCCAGTCTCTGTCCCTCTCCCCACTGATGATGTCCTCCTCCTCCTACAATATTATATAATATGATACATTAACAATATAATATGATACAGTTACTGGGATATCTCCTGCAAGTCTCTGTCCCTCTCCCCACTGATGATGTCCTCCTCCTCCTACAATATTATATAATATGATACACTGACAACACACTATGATACAATAACATACATTAACAGGACATATCATACAATAAGACACATTAACAATACAATGCAATAAAATATGATTCAATAATATGAAATAATAACACAGAATGAGAGACGATAATACAGTTTTAATCATGAAATTTAACTTAAATTAAGATGAAATCCTTGGGTACAGTAATCCTTAGCTACAGTAAAATTAATGTAAAACAATGTAATCTTTTTTTCTTCTTTTTTCTTTTTCTTTTTTTTTTTGTAATAGTTTCTTATCAAATATACTAGATATCTGTCATGTCCTAGTGCCAAATGCTTCTGACTAAATTTGACAGTTTTTCATTACTAGTACTAGAAATGACACAAAAATCAATGTGTTTTGAAAAACCAAAAACTAGTGTCGTTTTTCTAGAATTGTTGGATTGTGTGGGGGGGGTGGGAGGATGAGGGTGAGGAGGGGGAGGGGGGGGGGGGGGCTTGGGCTCCCTCTGTTGTTTAAAGTATAGATTTTAATTTTACATTATTTTGTCCACATTATTCCAGTTCCTCACCAAACATAGGATGTGGTGGTAACATTCCTGGCAAAACTCCTCCTCCTGGAACAACATCATGTCCTTCTTCCTCCATCTCTTCCTCCTCCTCATCATCTGATTCTCTGGCAGCATCAGCAACAATGTCCATAGGAGACGGACCTAAAATATGTGGGGTAGGAAACAACATAAAAGTTTTTGGTCAACAACTTCACTCTGCTTAAGTATTGCATAATATTTTATATATCCCCAAGAACCTTTAATGTTTCTTATACAGGGTAATATTTCACACAGAGGGTAACAATTTTGGATATGAATTATGTCTCTTACAGAATCAAAATCATATGGGGTCCAAAAGGGCATCCAACAGAATTCCTATATGAAGTCTCACAGAGTCCTGTATAATTCTTATATGGAGTCCCACAGAGTCCTGTAAGATTCCTTTAATAGAGTCCTATGCAGTCCTTAAAGAAATTTACATAAGTGAAGTTCAGAAATAGTTTTTTTTTTATAAATTATATAAAACCATGTCTCCCCTCACTTTCTGCCTGTTCCTGTACTCCACTGTCCTCTTCTTCAGTGTCCATCCTGTGTCCAGCCCCACCCCAGGAATGCCCCACTGGACTTCTAGTGGCCCCACCAACAGCTTCCTTATTGACAACTTTAGCTGGAAGGGGTAGTAATGGCGGCGGTGGTGGTGATAGTGAGGTGGCGCCATCTGGTCGTGTGTTCATGGCTATGTCTGAGCTGCTGGATGAGGCTATATGGAGAGAGGCAATTGATGTCTGAACTTAAAGAAGTTAATGTCATAAATTCAATGATTCCAGGTGAACAATTTTTATTTAGTTTTGAAAGTTAAACTGCCTGGTTCTTTAGAATATATAAGCAAAAAATACAGTTTTTAACCACAGCTTAATTGATAATATCCTTGATATCTAACTAAGAAATATTTTTTCATATTGCTACTAAGAAACAAAAACTGCCTCAAATTTAATTTTTCAAATTCTATGAATAAATAAATAAATAAATTAATAGATTAACTAATAAATAAATAAAACTGAAAACAATGTTACCAGTATCTTCAGAGGCAGTCTCCATTTTCTTCAGCACCAAGGACCCTGTAGGGGTAAGCCCCAACTCAGAGAGGGACCGTGTCAGATCCTTTCTAGTAAACTCCCGCCTGGGAAAGGGTTGCATGAAGGCCATGCCTGGATATATACATATATATGTTAAAGAATAACATGTAACTGGAAAAATATGATTCATTTAGAAAGCTAAAGGCGATCATCAGAATTAATCAAATTACATAATATTGATAGAAACATAAAGTAGTAGTAATACCAGGGCGGCTTGATCATCAAATGCAAAAATTTACATAAAAAAACACTTTTTCCTAGAAAAATGCATTAAATTCAATATGAATACCAATAAATAAGTAATGATACAAATCAGGTTCATTGAGTCAAACAGATTACCCATCCAACTTACTACTAATCAACTAGAATATTAACTGATGGATCTGTAAAAATTAAACACAAGCATTAAAGTAAAAGAAAGGATTTTCTTTCATCTTGCCTGTGATACTGTTTTGCCCTTGTTCCTGCACCAGGTGCCAGACATCACTGAGAGTGGCACCGGGACTAAAGGTGTGTCTCTGAACTCTGCCATTCATCAGACGGATCTGTAAACAAAACCAACATGTTAAACAGAAATAAATGAAACAGAACTTAATTACAACTTGATTCATCATCCAGATGTGAGAGATCTCGAACTAGGCCTGACTGTCCAACAATGATGTCAGTGCCACTCAACACAAACTTATCAGCTCAAATACTTTTGAATCAGTCCCTTGTAAAGAAATTGTGGTAATAATAATAATAATAATAGTAATAATAATAATAATAATAGTAACTCAGCTGTTGTTGATTCAACAGTAAAATTGGGCTCCCTGTTACTGTCCATAAAATATAAGCTTCACCACAGCTATTTGTATCAAGCAGTAATTATCATGGGTAAAACTTACCAGTATCGCGAGTGAAATGTTTTTTTTTTAAAGTACTATACATCATTTTGGTTCAGAGAGTGGAAAATGATCAATCTCTTTCAGTTTTCTGAAGAAAAAAAATGTGTCACTCAAAAATAAAAATGAGTTGAATAAACAATATCTGTCAGTGTATCTATTACCCCGTTCACACTACGCTCAGTTATCCGGATAAGTTGCGAATTAGGTCACAATTCGAATAAATGCAGTAGTGTGAACGCAAGAGGATTTTGAAAATGCGCATTTTCAAAATCCTGCAAGCGAGGTGGATTTCTAAGCGCGATCCGGATAACTTACCGGAATCGACACCTGTACAGATCTTACTGCGCATGTGTGCAGATAAGTGCGGGTATCTATGAACGCTGGTTTATTACTTTAGCGATTGCACCAAACGTATTTGGAGGTCACCACTCACTACAACATGAGGAAACAAACTTTTATTTTGCTTCTCAAGAATGCTGGAATGTCTTTTGAGTTGCATTTGTCGTCACAAATTTTTGTTGATATTTTAAGATTTCCTGTGTGGCGCATGCGCGAGTGTTCAAAACAGGAAGTTAAACCTGAAATTTTCAAAGTGGGATTCGGATTCGCTTAGCGAGTGTGAACGCAATACCGAATCGGATTCCTTACGAAAAATCCGAATTATAGTAATGCGCATTTTGGCAACTGTAGTGTGAACGGGGTATAAAAGAAAATATTTACCAGACAAACTCCTCAAGACCACATTACCTGCAGTAAACATTTATCCTGTGTGGAAGGTGCTGGTTTCAGTGGTGAAGTGGCTAATGTTGTGTCTTTGCTGTCCCTTTCTACTGCCTGTTGCCGTGGTGATGTAGGAGCACCTGACTTCCTTTGTTTCTGAAGTTCACGGTCTTCAGCAATTTGTTTTAAGGCTTGCTCATGTGCCTGGAATAAATTTGACAAAATTACAAAAGAAAATAACAAACTCTACATCATCATTTTAAACATCTCTGCATGTATTTTTTTTTTTTTTTTAATATTTTCAAGACATTACCTACATGCCCCTTTCAAACACAACTTGTTGTAAACATGGACTAATAAAGCCACACCTCCATACAGCTAGGCTGCTCATGTGGTGCCCCCTTTTGCTTAAATTGAACATCACAGTGTGCTTTGTCGTTGTGAGAAAATACCAGTATTTGCCACTGTCAATTCTTAAAATTCTGATACAGCAGATATTGTTGTTGAACTTTCAACCAATTTCTTTTTCTTCTTTCTGGTTTTAGGTTTTCTAGTTTTAGGATCTCACTTACAAACATGACCCTCAATTCATTTGCAGTGAAAAGCTAAATGTATTTGCTTTATTATGAACTTTTCTGACATAACACACCTATCAACACCTCATACAACATATCATGATGATCATAATTTACAACATGCTTCCTAAACTTTACTTATCACATTTCTGTTTAAAGTTCAGGCCTTACCTTCTTTTTCAATTTTTTCTCTGACAGTGCAGATTTCCTTGCCTCTTCTCTTTGCTTCTCTTCAAAAGTTTCTTTTATTTTTCTTTGTTCTTCACTCATCCTCATTCTACTGGCTAACTGCTCCTGGAGATAAAACTGATAACTTAAACTCAAAATAGCAACAGCAGTTTCTCACCAACAATTAAGCTATCGCCTCTGCATCTGCTCAACTTCATATACACCAATGAAGGGTGTTTCATTTGTTTATGAAGAGAATTTATCAACAACAATATTCAACAATTCAGGTGGAATTTTCAGGATAATTACTTAAAAGAGAAGAGGAGGTGGTCAACTACAATTTCAACTGAATCCAGGTTTCCTTTAACACTTACAACAATTTTTTTTAATTCAAATAATGTTAATATTTTGCCTTGGTATAGGTCTCTACTTCTGGAGTGCTTTCAAGTTGAACAAAACACCATTGGAATTTCAGATAAAATTGTTGAACATACTGCGATTCAACATGGAAATAAAGAAAGAAATTGTTTACTTTAATTCTTACCTCTTCTTTGTCTTCCTCTCCTAGCTGACTGGCAGCAGAGGGAGCTGTGACATGCTCAGGAATGGGAACTGGCTTCACAAAGCTAGCCATGGCACTGGGGGCTGTGTCCAGACTGCTGCCCTGGAACATGGATATGTAACACTACAGCTCTGTGTGTGTGTGTGTGTGTGTGTGTGTGTGTGTGTGTGTGTGTGTGTAAGAGAGAGAGTGAAAGGGAGCAAGATAGAGAGAGAGGAGCACATAATATCATATCTATGTGTGACAGCAAAATCATTTTGAGAGAGAGAGAGAGAGAGAGAGAGAGAGAGAGAGATTACTAAATACCTGTGTTGGTCTCAGTCTCAGCACTGAATTCCCAGGTAAAGCTGGAGCCGCCTGGGGTTTTCCTTGCAGTATCCTGAAACCAGGATATCAACATTCAGAGACGTAACAACAGCTTCACACTGTTGTGTTTATTGTAAATTATAATAACTAAAAAATGCATTAATTTGTGATTGAAATTAACTGTGGGCTCAACAAATAAATATTAAAAAAGACGAAATTTTCTTGATTTGATTTAAAAGGCCTTTCAGCAAATGAAGAAATCTAAAAAAAACTGTTAGTCCTAAGACACTATATACCGTATTACGGAGGGGGGGGGGGGAGTGAGATGTGAAATATATTCATAACTGACCATTCAACTGCCTCCTCTACTGTGAGTTTTCCTGCCTGGACAGCCTGCTGACCATCCGTGATATCGAAGCCCATGCTGACCAGTACAGCTATCAGGTCATCTACACTCTGAAAATAGAGGTTTAAATCAAATTTTAAATGTTAACATATTTTACCTCAGACATACCCGACTCCATACAGGGGCTTCGCTCTTCAAAGTTCCGAGGTGAAAGATCATTCAAACGTAGTTTGGTCTAGATTTCATAAAGAATGCTTTATTGTTCTGCATGATAAATATCGCTTTGTGAGAATGAAGATGTGGATTTGTAATTCACAAACAAAAGAGAAGAATGGTAAAGTGAGTCAGGGAGAATGGAAGTGGATCAAAACACTCCGAACAATTTTGGCGCCAGTACGAGGATAATCGTAATCCTAAATATCAACAAAGTGCTTTGAAATAGTTATTCCTGTTAAATGGAAATAAAATTTTAGCGGTTACTCGCTCGCTCTTCTCTTGTGCGACTTAATTTGAATAAAGGAAATGCCTCTTACTTTTACAGCAGTCGACGCCATTTTTTGTTTACATCGAAGTGCGCATTTCCTGTGCGCATGCCAGGGGCCTTAATTATTTGAGGGGGGGGGCGTTAGATGGGATCCTTTGAGGAAGAAAACCTCGCAACTAAGAGTCCCATGCTAAATACTGGTAATGAGAGATGTGGGGCAGCAAGAAATCATGAAAAGTTTCAGCAATAAGAAGACATTGGGTCTTTCCCTTCTTTGTGATAACCAACAGAAGTTAATTGAGACTGGTGATCCCACAGCCACCAGTAGGCCTATTGTCTCGTTTTGATAAACTGTTCTTTTAATTTAGTAATTTTTTATTCGTTTATGTAAACAGGATTGTTTTTTATTTTATTATTTTTTTCTTCATTTCGACACTTGTAGTTACGCAAATAACGCAAATATATGTAGGCCTATGAATTAAGGCCTATTTTAGGCCTATTTTAAAAATTTTTCATTCAATTGTAAGTTAAAATTACATGTACCTTGTTAGACCAGAATTATTTAGGAAAAAAGTTACAGAAGGAAAGAAAGAAAAAAAGAAAGACAAGAAAAAAGAACAAAATGAAGTTATTAAAGACAATAAGAAAGTATTTTACGCGTATATCAATGATCATTAATGATTCCAATTTATTTATTTAATTCTAAATGTTTCCCATAACGATAAAACCGTCATGGCTCCCTGAACGATACGAATAAAAATAAATAGGTACATCAGATACTTTTATTTGAGGGATTATAATCTTTTTTTAGGTCTTTAACAGGAAAAATTAGTAAGCGAAGCTTTCTGAAATATGTAAACAAAGAAAATATTTGGACTTGTAGGCCTATCTTTTCATTGGTTGATAGTGTACTGGTAGACCTACCTGAAAGTTCTTCTGCAAATTAATAACACTTTTAGGCAAAGGGATGTGCCGAATTCTTCTTTCGATCGGTTGGTTTTTTTTAGAATGGACACAGGAAATATACAAGATTTACAATAATAATAATATTGCAAACTGAACTAACGACGCCATTATGACTGTTGCCTGTGTCAGTTAATAAGGCTGAAAGGTCCAAGAGAAGACAACATCTAAAAGTGTAAATTCTAAATTAAAAAAAAGAAAAAAATCACAAGAAGCATGGTTTACTTCCCACATTGGACCGCCATTTATTATGAATCCGTGAATTTCTCATACCCAGACAAAACCGAATTAAATACACATCAGGTACACTGTACATGTAGGCTATAATGATGATAAAAACCGTAGCAGCAAACTACTGTAGGTCAGCCATTGTGCATATACTTTTGCGGTCTCGTTCATTGTTATGCAATATAATTGATATATTAAACTCTTTCCGCAAGAACATGTTACCCTATTTCCTCTATACTGGGTAAGGCTCCGGGACATGTGCGTATACCGTCGTTACTGAGGGACCGTTCACAATGGAGTTTGTGGACCTAGTGCATGCGCACCAGCTCCACGGGGACTCTCGCTGAATGCAATCAATTAAGCAGGCTGATTACACACCTCCTGTTGTTCCCAGCGTACTCTTTTAATCACCGGGTTACAATATTCTACTCGCCGTCAAAGGACATGCTCATTCATTGTCTGGTGGAATGTAGATTATGAGATTTTTAATAAACTGTGGCTAGACAAGGTATTGTCCTTTTAGTAGTCAAAGGGTCCGTCTCCAGGCTGATATCAGAATCGATCATATTGTCTTTTTTTATATTATATTTTCTGTGTTGATCACGCCCTATCGCATGCATGCATGTCCTCCGTAGAACTCTCTATACCGGGTAAGTACGGCCTACTTTTAATGTGAGCTTGTCGTTATAAACGCAAACGAAGTCCGCAGGGCTGATTTACCGATATAAACTATACACATGGGAGCATCACCTTCTTCTCTTAGTATCAAAATAGCCCCGTGTCCCTGTCCCTGTTATACAACTTCACAAAAGAAAGAAAGTACAATATATATAATATGAATAATAAATCAACTGATGTATGTCGATTTAAATAGAGTCAGCTCCCGCTTGCAACAATGTCCCCATTTCCTGCGGCAATGTGAGATTGTTGTCGCTCGGATGCCTTGCCATAACAGTCAGAATAACAGTAGAGATGCAGTTTTGATAACGACCATTTGCCCAAGGCATCCGGGTATCCTTGATCCGTAAGTCGAAATTACAGAGGAGATTTTGTAGCTTGTTACGAAGAGAAAGATGGCCTAAAAAAGAATGTGAAAAGACATTACTATAGAAGAATGTATAGGGCAATAAAACAAAACAAACCAATAAAAAACCCATATATGATATGAAAATGCATTACTATTTACCGTTTTTGCCTGTTCTTTGTTAAGCATGTTTTTTTTAATGAGAAATAATAATACTTGATCATTTCAAATAAAAAAAAAACGTAAGCAGCTATAGTTATGATCTTTCGCAAAACTGTCTTACACACTGGAATTGAACGATACTACAAACACAAAAATTACTTAGGTCAAGAAATTCTAGATAACATAAACTAAGAGTTCATATATATACCAAGCGGGTGAGTTAACTTCATATATCATTTGGATCATGCTCAGATTGTTGCTGCAGACGTTTGAAACGTGTTTAATTATTAAGCTTAATACAAATACGTAAGTCCTCACTTTTAAACATAAATCAAGTTGAGATCCACTAAAAACCGCCAACATCACCAAAGGTGATATTAAAATTCCAGTTAATGTTGACTTGATATATTTTATAATAATATATACTGTATTATTCTGGATATGTAAGTAATATTATATACTCACAATTAAACGTATTTGTTTGGATAAATCTGTTGCTTTCCTTGTAGCACCCGCAACTCCTTGACAGGGTTTTCCTCATCAACGCTGGAAATCACGCGACGTAACACCTGAAATAGAGACCGCCTTTCCGTCCTTGTGACAGTAACGTTAATTGACCTCAAAGGAAATGCTCCTGCAGACTTGTCTGGTGTTTCTGGCACGCTTATGTCTATTTTAATGGTAGGGTTTTGGGTTGTGTAGAGCATAAATGTTAACTGGAGGACGCACACACTCAGCGCTATGATTGTCAAATAAATTGTTATAAAATCGTAGTCGGTTAGTCCTTTACTTGTCTGGTCGAGGTCAGGTTTCCCTTTCTTCGTCTGTTCTTCCGTCTCTGTGACGCCTTCTAAGGAATTCCCTATGTTAAGTCTTGTCTCTTTTTCAGTGGGTGACATGTTTGGTGCTCGGAGACAATTAGGGTGTAACGAAAGCGGTGTATCAGCTCACAGCTAGCGTGTGTTGTTCTACTGCTTTTCCCAGTTCAAAATTATGCGTCTGTCGGCCCGAGGAGATGGTCTTCGATGGCGCAGAGATCTGTTCCAAAGCGTCTTCTCTCAAAACAAAGTTCTCCGACGACTCGTTCAGCTCTCCGGTGTGACCCTTTTTTTAATTCTACTTCACTATGCGATGTCCTTAACCGCAGCACGTGAGTTGAACGCTATGGGACTAACTGGCCTCAGGCACCTAGTACGCTATATGGCAAATCTGTTGAAGTACTGTCGCAAACCCGCGGTAGCGAGGACAGATCATTCGCATTACCTCCGATAAAAAAGCACCCAGTAGGCCTGTTCACACCTGCTTTTCAAATAAAACACAAGCCGGTTTCTCTGGGTTTATTTGCTAACGTGTCGTGGTGTCAGGTCAGCCTTTTGTAAGCATTTAAAATACAGGTGAAGTCCCTGGATATTTGATACTGGAAAAACACGAGCCGTGATTTCTTTGTCCTGGTTATTATTGCTTGTTGGTTTATTTTACAGTCATTTAGTGGTTATGTTTCTCCGAACTCCTCTGTGGTGTCCTCCGCGTCCCCAGTCTATCTTGTGCGTTCACCTAACTGAGCGCCGTGACAATATAGTATAAATACCAGCATAAAGGCAATAGATCCCAATCAGAGCGTATACTTATGTATTCTGTATACTGTAGATACACGTGCTATCACAACCGGGAGATGATCAGATTGCTGATTGAACGAAAGGGTATAATCAGAATATGGCGTAAAATGCTGGCCATTATCTCTAATCTGTTTAATGCAAATGAGGATTTTAATGTAGGAAGTGAACGCGGCTATTTTGCCTAGATAAATACTTGTATTTCTATAAAGGTTGGGGGAAAGAGAGTCATACAGCGTGCACCGGTGCAAAAACTCCTGGTGGGAATAATTTTAATTGGACTAGGTACACTGACAAACTGAAAGCAATCACTAATATTTAATTCTAAAAAATAAAAATTTATTGACCAGAATAAAGTATTTTATATATATTTATAGGATAACTACAAAAAGGGGAAAAATACAATATGTTATAAAATGCGTTATGCATAGCAAGGTGTACATGAAAATGGATAAAACCCGTATAATACTCTTCAATGTGGAACAAAGAAGAACGCATAAATCTCCCGTATATTTCTTCCCCATAAATGACTATAGGCTTCAATATGGATATAAATATCCATAACTACATATGTATGACCCGTCCTTTGCAAGGTGTTTGGAACCTTTAAGGTGCTGAGGTCAAAGGAATAATTAGTTTATTTATAGCTGCTAGGACCCAACATAAAGTTATTTTCTATCCTAGAAAGCTGGAACTAGACACCCGTTTGATATTTATTTATTTATTT